TACAGTCCAGGAAGCGCGCAGCTCGTGGATTCAGGAGGCGACCCGAGTCTGAGCGGCGGAGCAATTACGGCCTTTAATTACTAGGATTGGAAGTGGATGAGCCTCGCGGGGCCTCAAGGCACTGAGTCACTTCCCCAGTAACCAGATTCCCAGGGCTGGCGGAAGAGGGGGCGGCTTCCCTGCGGCGGGGTGCTGCCCGGGACTGGGCTGAAGCCAAGACCAGAACATACCCGGGGGCCAGCAGGGAGCAGGTTCCTGCTGGCCATTCCACCGCTCTGTGGGTCTTGGCGAGGGAACCTGCGTCTCTGTGCCTCAGTTTCCTCCTCTGCGAAGTGGAGCGTGGCAGCCCCTTCTACATATGGTTGTTAGCCAAGCAAGTTGTGAGTTTGTGGAAAACCTTCAAAATCATTGCCACATGATCTAAGCGAGATGGCCCACACCTGTAAACCCAGAAACTCAGGCACGAGGCTACAAGTTCACAGCCAGCCTGGGCTACTTAGTGAGTTGCAGGACAGCCTAGGCCTCAAAACAAACCTAAGCACACCATTAATTATTCTCCTATAGCTGACTTTATTTCTGGCGCTGGGTACAGTAGATGAGGGAGCCCTGGGCTCTAACGTCACACTCTAGTCGGGAATCCAGAAGGGCTCAGCAGCTGTGTGACTTTGGTCAGGCCACTTGGGCTTCAGTCTTCCTCCTGTGCATAGGACAAATGAACAAACAGCCCTTCCTTCATGGCAGGCATGGCCTTAACCAGGCACACCGAATTCTGAGCAGGAGGCCTGACTAGTCTTGAGCAAGGACTGATGGCAGTTTTCACATGGAAGGGGCAGTGAGCACAGAAAAGGGAACCCTAGCCCTAGAGAGGAAACAGAGGGAAAAGATAGTGCCAGGCCCCTGAGCTCAGCAGATCAGACCCACAACTCAGGAATAAGGCTTAGGAGTTCTGAGTGTCTGGTAGAAAGAGGCCCCAGCTGAAGTGTTAGTTAGGCTAAAGTCAAGGCTGTTTTCCTGAGCCCTTTCAGCCATAGCTGAATCCAGTGTATGAGGAGCAGTTTAGAAGAACACTCTGGGGTCATCTTAAGCTCTGTATTAGCTAGCAATTGCTGTGTAATAGCACTCCCCTCCCACTTTGTGGTTTGCTAGGTAATACTCCTCCACGGTCTCATGGTTTTGATAATTCAGGTGCAGTTTGATCAGTTGTGGCTCAAGGTCACAAAGAAGGTTGAAATCTAAAAACAGAAACTGGGCTTGATAGCTGGACGTTGCCTGTAACACTAGTACTTGGGGAGGCTGTGGCAGGAGGATCAAGAGTTTCAGATCAGGGATACTCTGTCTCAAAAAACATTTAAAATTTAACCTTAAAAAATTCTAGCCAGGTGTAGTGGCGATTGCCTTTAATTCCAGCACTCGGGAAGTAGAGGCAGGCAGATCTCTGTGAGTTTGAGACCAGCCTGGTCTACAGGGTAATCCTCCAGTCTCTGCTGCAGAGGGCTATGATTACAGATGTGAGCCATCATGCTGGGTTGAGCTGTGCATTTTAATTAACATTAGAAATGATAAGTACAAGGTGGTTTTGGAGGCTCACACCTGTGAACCCGTAGCACTGGATGGGCAGAGGCTAGAGGATCAAAAGTTTGAGACCACCTGGGTAACAGAGCAAAACTCTGTCTCAAAACCCAAAACCAAAGCCAACCCTGGCATCATAGGCTGTCATCTCAGGAGGATTAAATGTTCAAGGCCTTCTTGGCTAAGTCTAAGGCTAGGGACATAGCAGTGTGCTAGAAGCCTGGGGCTATGGCTGTGGGTACATTTCAGTCTATAATTTCTCACTCCATTTTTCTTGATACAGTGTCTCACTCACTATGTGGCTCCAGTTAGCCTGGAATTTACTATGTAGACCAGGCTGGCCCCAAATTCCGATTGCCTCTATGACCCAAGTACTGGGGGAGTAAAGGCACTGGGCTTACATGATTTTTCTTCTTTTCTTCTACTTATTATTATTTTGGAGAGTATCTCACCAAACTAACCAGTTTGATGGGGCTAGGCTGGTTGACCTACAAGTCCCATTGGTCCTTGTCTGACTTTTACATGGGTGCTGGGGCTTGAACTCAGGTCCTCATGCTTGCACACCAAGTACTTTGCCTATCGTGCCATCCCCCAGGTCCTATCTGGTTAATGTTTGTTGCTCTTCATATTAACAATATGAACGGCTTGGATCATTGACTTATTAGTACTCCCTTGGCTCTGGTTAACTTTCATTGGTATTGCTGGGTTTGTTTGATTTGAGGTCTCATGAAGTCCAGGAAGGTCTCAAACTCTAGGTAGCCAAGGCTGGTCTTGAACTCATCCTCCTGTCTCAGCCTCTAAATGCTGTCCTTGTTACTCACTACACCTGGGTGATATTAAGGTGATAATTGCGTCACTGACATCGTTGATTTAGAGAATCGGCTAGACTAGGTTCGGCTGTCCTTCTGACCTGGCCACCTGAGTCCCTGGCAGGTGGACCCTGTGCCCCTGCCTGCCATCAGCAGGAAGGAAGGGCGGGTGGCCGGGCCCCTGGGAGTGGTCAGCCAGCTTCCGGCAGTTCCAGCCAGCTGTGGGAACTGGCTTGTCGGTCCCCCTCCCCCCCAACGCTGGGCGGGAGGAGCTGGATCCCAGGAGCACAAAATCCAGAGTCGCTGCTGTCACCGCAGGGTCTCATGTAGGGCGCAGCAACGGCCTTGGAGCCCTTTGCCCTTCGGAGGAAAAAAATGTAAATAAACAGAAGACTGACAGCGCAGGGCTCTCAGGGAACCCGGACTGGGGCGGGCCCGCGGGAGAAGAAGCTGAGCGAGGAAGGAAACGGGTTTGGGCCTCGGAGAAATCTGGCAGGCAGGGCTGGCCTGTGATTAAAAAGAGGAAGAACCACAAGTCCCCATTTAACTCAGCAGGGCTGCAGTCGGCTGCGAGAGGGAAAGTGCTTGCGGCTGGCAGATTGCAGCCACCATTTGGCAAAGGCTGCCAGTACCTGATGCTCCGCGTGCGCCTCCCGGCCACAGCCAGGCTGCAGTCACCCGGCTTTCGCCCCAGGTGTTGTAAGAAGTGTGTTCCGGGCCAATCAGGTTAGACTTCACCGAAGGCCCTCCTTCCTGCTTAGATGGCCGCGTCTTTCCAGGGGACACTTCCGATTAGGGACACCAGCCCCAGGCTCTGTGACAGAGCTCAGCTGGGCCGTCTCTTCCTCACAATTCTCTAAAGGAAACAAACAGCCAAACAAACAAACTGCACCAAGACCTCAAGACAGCGCGTGCAAGCCAACATGCTCCTTCTAGCGTAGGTGGAACCATTTCCACTGTGTGCCAAAGGAACCTGAAGGGCTTTGCATTGGCCGTTCCTTTGGCTTGGAACGTCTTTTCTTCGAACTTCATCATGCCCAGAAGCTTCTCTCATGAGGGAGATCCCCGCTTAAATATTACTCAGATATTTCTCTTCCACAACGGGGTTGCCACTGGTCTCTTAGCCAGCATGCCTCCTCCACGAGGGAATCACTAACTGGTGTCCACAAACACCTTACTACACAGCGCCTATCACATAGTAGGTATCGCGTTTGTTCGTTCGCACGTTTTTGTAGCTTTTTCCAAGCCATTCTGCCACCCACCCCCTGCTCGCTGCCGTCCGACTGTAGTGGAAATCCCCACCCGTGGGGGAGTCCCTTCCTGGGGCTCCAACGGCAGGCCTGCGGGACTGAAGCCCGGTTGGTTAAACTGCTTTAATGCAGTAACTCACTCCTTCCAGTCCCCGAGTGGACTGGGGACACGTGTCATTTTCATTTCATACATGAAGAAACTGAGTTGGAGAGGCCAAGTGTTTGGTGCCGGACAGCAAGGGGGAGGTAGTGGGCTCTAGGGAGCCAGTGGCTCGTGGGAGCCTGTCGTCTGGGAAGTCTTGCAGTGGCCCCTCCAAGTTGGGGGCGTGGGCGGCCTGTTTCCTGTTGGGGGAGGAGGAGGAGGAGGGGACAGGCATTCATTCCTCTTTAGCCTCCCTCCCTACTGTCGCGGGGAAGACGGGCGGGAGTGCAGTGACTTCAGAACAGGGGCGCCCCACTGTTAGCCGCACCCCCATGAGGCGATAGAGAAAAGGTAAAGGGCTGAGGGGCGAGCAGACATGGAAGCTCAAAGGGCTCGGCTGCCTAGGGTGAGGAGGAGTTCTTGGAGAAAGTTGCATCAAGCTAGAGATCGGTCGGGCGGCCAGGTAGAAATTATCCTACTCGGCCCGTTCCGGGACTTAGGCGGACCTTAGTCAGTCCTGGAGCGGAACCCGAATGGA